TGGTATCAAACTCCATTTGCGCCTGTTATAACGTGTCTATTTTTCAACCTTTGGGTGAACCAGTCTACTCACAACGCACCGAGTGAAGACACCGTTGCCATCCTCGTCGGTTTTTGTTCAACAATCGAATCCAACACGGGATTAGCAGCGACAGTGTTACCAAGGCCCGGTGAGCTGAGGTCTGGCGCACCGAATGCCGAAAGTCCCAATGACGGCACTGTGACATGGCGAGCGTGAAGCGCCATTAAATAATTTTACTTGTCACCGCTGCCTTGTAGTCAGGTTCTTGAGTCAAAGCGCTAGAGGTGACAACCTCGAACAAAGAATCCAAACGGCTTTTGGAGACCCGCCTTTATTCAATATCCCCAAGATTCCTCATGCAAAAATGTCAACTCACAAGCATGCACTAGAATTAAACCATGGCATCATCTAGGTGTCAGCTGCTATCAACAAAGTATGCCTACCTAGTGCTGTCAAGCAGTTTCTGCAACTATCAATGCGTCAAAGGTGGTACCCTTCTCTACAACTGATTCTCAAACCACTTACTTAAACGAGTTCCTTCTCTCTGTGATTTTGGATACCTCACCGTTATTAACTTTGGCTTGCCGCATTACTTGTTTCGTTTTTGCGGTTTAGCGGAAACTACGCAGGACCTGAACCCAACCGGCCTGGAGGCCTTTTCATTGGACTACAAAGTAGAGTGGCCCATCAGTCTTGTCATCAACCGCCTGGTCATAGAGCGATACCAAATGCTGTTTCGTCACCTCTTCTACTGTCGACATGTGGAACGACACTTGTCGACGTAAGTTTTATGGCTATTCGTTGTATTTATTCCGCACCGCGTCATTCGTCCTGTGCAAACTTTATTTTTGATGGTGCAAGGCTTTATTCAACCCGTTTTGTCGCATCTAGTTGTCCATTCGTTGGAGTTTTTATCGCTAGTAGTGCTACCAAACATAACTTCAGCCATACAAACACCCGCAGGCAGGGTTTATTGGTACTTCCACTAACTATAATCGTACCAGTGAGTTGCTACGATTTATGTCGCCTGACATGTAGTAAACCTCTCACGTGAAAAGGAGGACACCGGAAGAGATAACCGTGGGAGTTTCACTGAAGTTTTTTGTCTGGATTCACAACTGGGTGAGCAGTGATGCTCTTGCCGATAGAAGCGAATGGACAGATTCCAGGAAGCAGTTCAGAAGTAGAAGGTGCGATTCCTGGAACAAGATGTTTACTTGCCTGACGTTTCTGATTCTGTCGAGAACCCTTCATCAGAGGTTACCGTAGAATAGTGCGATACATTCACAGATTGAGTTGATATATGCACAGATTACGCAGTATTTATAGTTTCTATCTGTCACTCACATATACCCTATAATTATCAGCTCCCGCAACCACCGTCTGGCGGTCTTGCGGTGATGGGTTGACAGTCCGCTTTCGAGTCATTAACTGCCGCGGCCTTGTTGACCGGGTTCGCTCTGAATGATGCTCTTCTTTACACTGGCTCGCTGTGCCTATCTTTGAGCCATATCTATTGTGACGGTCATTATTCTTCAATCTCAAACAAGTGGGATATTTTTATATTGCCATTGGAAGAAAATTAACCAAGTCTCGGGTAACTGACACGGCTGTAAACAAGATTGAGAACATTGAACCCACAACTGCACCTTTTTCCAAGGTTTTTAAGTCCCTAATGTTAGTGCAGCAGCACCTCACGATCTCAGCTGTGAATATCACGCGATCAGTGAGGGGGACATAACTTGTGGCGGCCGGACACAAATATCTTCATCGGAAGGCAGGACTGCGCTTTTTGCTACTCAATAATTCTGCTCCTAATTATCTTGCTGCATATCCCACGAAGCCCTTGGTGACATCCCGGATGCCTATGTGAAATGATAGGATATCACACTTACATTACCGTGTATTCTTGTTCGGTGTTTTTTTAAATCTATCTTGATCTCTCCTACAGTAACGTTCTCCCCTAATATCCAGTAGAGCTCGTTAGCACATAGGTATAGAACTATGCCAATTACATGGATGGTTTTAAGCTAGTTTTGCCGTAGATCATATTTTTTACGGACTATGTTCCAAGTGGTCGGAAAACGTTTCACCGTCTGTCCGACAATAGTCCCCATTACTAGCTTCAGCGACGCGAATTCACTGTTGTTATTTTTTGCCCCTAAAACTTTTTCGTTTATTTTCCTGTCGGTGGTCTTTCCGTTTACGTTTTACTACGCCCATACAAATGTAAATTGTTGGTATTGGTGCCAAAATACATTTACATTTCTTTTTTCTCTGGCTGTTTATCAGGTCATGGGCCATGCGGAAAACTGCACGACGGGCTAACACTCCTGCAGCACTTAGGTTGAACAGCGCATTCATTCTCAGCCAACGCATGCTCACCTATATTCAGCATTTCCAGTGTTACATGACCTTTGAGGTGATCGAACCGACTTGGCACCAATTCTTCCAGTATCTCGATAAGGTAAGTCTTTTTTCTGCTTTGAAAATATAACTACCTAATTAATTGCAGTAGTCACCTAAACATGTGCAATATACTTGTAGGCTGACAACATTGATGACTTGTTGGACGCACACATGCGCTGCCTGGAGGTCTGCCTCGACGATTGTCTTCTCACTAGTCCCGAACTGCTGGCCGTCATTGGCAAGCTGAATGTGGTGTGCGTCAATTTTGCCAACTTCCTCAATAAAATGGCCGCCGCTCTCCTGGACGA